AGGGAAAGGTATAATTCTCTTTCTATGAACTTAATGAATAAAAAGGGGGGTTTTGGTTTGAGTGATTTAATTTAATTAAAAACTAAGATGAACAACCTATATGTGCTTAATTCAAGAATAAAAGGGACTTGGCATTGCTACTTTCCACTTGTTGATATATTTTAGTCGATCCTTGTTATATCTATAACTTATCCCCTCTCGAATACTCAATCGAGGAGTATCTCCAATTCATCGAGGGTAGTTATTAACAACGACCGTTCATTAATAACCCTTACTATTAATCAAATATAGAACAACGCCTTATACCGATATAATAGTAGCATTCAATCTTTTTAACTCCTTGATGAAATCAATTGAGATTGATAACCTTAACACAACGGTTTCGGTTTAACCAACAAAATTGATCCCTCTTAAGTCTATTAACCACGACCGTGCATTAATAAACCGAAGTTACTTACTTGTGAAACCACCAACGATTAACCATCGGTTCGTTGATCGTTTCTAGTAGTAATTAATGTCGGAACGTTAACTACTTGTCACTTAGAAACACTCCAACATTAATATAGAATGAGATTAAGGGAGGAATTAATAATCAAGAGAAGAAGTTAAGAAAATAACTCACAACTTTAATAATCAACAAGCTTCAAGAGCAAAACCAAGAATGGAAGTTTAGCTCCTCATTTGGAGGCTAAACATAGCTAGAAAAATATAAAGAAATGCTATTATAAACTGAGCTAAAGAGAATGGAAGAAGGGATGCTGAAATATGCAGGAAAATGAGGCTATTTATAGGTGTTTTCAACACCTAATGCCGGATACCCGGCCGGGTATTTACCTAATCAAATATTTTCCCATGTTTTTGTGTCTTCTGCACGTCTTTTGGTCTGAAATCACAGAATACCCGACCGGGTATATGGAATACCCGACCGGGTATTTGCTAGTTTGCAGCAGTTTCCTTTGTCACTTCATACCCGGCCGGGTAAAATCCATACCCGACCGGGTTTTGCACAAAACTCAGGTTTCTTCATCCTTTTTGCTTCCAAACCTATCCTAAACTTAAAACCAAACTAACTACAACTTACAACAAACAATAAAATGCTAGAAATATGATTACAATCAAATGCAAACTCACAACTATAAACTTGCACAAAACTAGTAAATAAACACTACAAACAATAATAAAAATGTATACTTAGGCACTAACAACTAGTGCCTATCAATAACCGTGCCTTTTTTTCCTTGGATTTGACGAGTCAGCACGTCTCGAAGGCTTTCTACACTCGGAAAGGTTCTCCCCAGTGTTCAGTTTTTTTTTCCAGCTCAACATTCGTAGTGCATAATTTTATGAGGTGGCAAATTTTAAATAGACTAGACGGCCCAGCGTTGGAGTTGCTCTAATAGTGTCAAATGTGAAATGATGTCAAAATATGGTAATAAAATTTCAATATGTATCACAATTCACAACGAGTTACTCCTACATTGCAACTTTAATAATTAATTTACTTGGAAATAAAGAACATTTAATGAGACTTCACTACATTGCCATTGTGTGTAGACTTAATTAGCTAGTGCACATATTATTATAACTTTAATTTACATGATGTTGAACGTGATAATCCACAAGAGTACAAGACATATTCTACATTCATTCTATACGGAGAAATTTGTGCCCTAACCTGTTCGTTTCAGCCGTATCCTTGGGTTCTTAATAAAAAGAAAAATATATTTTCTCAATCTCAAACGATATTCTTTCTTTATTGGAGAAATTCTATAGACGTGAGATTATCGGCCATGCAAATCTATGAAATGAAGTGTCACATTGATCACAAATTTTTTTTATAGTAACCCATGTTCATTATTTATAGAGTGGTGTATTTAATCACGTGTAATATGGACTTTGAGTGGTTTTTAAGTACTTCAGAATATGGTGATATTCTATTAAAACTTTTAAAGAATCTTTGGGCATGTTTACATTTGCTTCCCTTTTTCAAATTTTTCATTACTATTTTTCGAATTCTTCATCTTTCTTTTTCATATCTTTCCTAGTTTACTACTTCCTCCGTTCTTTTTTATTTGCAACATTCTCTTTTTCATGTTTGCCAACACACATCTTTGACCGTCATTATATTTAGTTATAGATTATAAAAAAATTAAAAATCACATTATGAAACTTAGTAATGAGACGAATTCAACAATATTTTTTAAATATTTCACATACATCAATGAATAAAATGTAGTCAAAGTAGAGTACATGAATAGTGTATAAATTGCAATGTTGCAACTAATATGATACGGAGGATAGTATTTTGTAGTATTCAAAAGAGTTTATAGATATTATTGTTGTCTCACATCGGATATCTCTTAAACAATAAAATATATAAGACTTTGAGGTACTCCTCCTATTAGGTTGACCTCTTAGGATTAAAACTCGTGTCTTAACATGATATCAGAGTCAAATCGATCCATGATGTGGCCCCCCTATGAAAAACGATGACTCGATTAAAAAATGACCATGACAAACTAATGAAAAAAATGAGTGATGACACGATCCAGACGAAGTGTCTCGTCGTAAGGCTTTGGGTTACTCCTCCTATTAGGTTGACCTTTTAGGATGGAAAATCGGATCTTAATAGATATCAACTAGTATTCGAATTGACATTTTGAAATCTTTACATGTTAATTAATGGCCATTAAAAAGAAATAATACATATATTCATATAATATAGAACTCCTATAATGTGATCCTCATGAATAATCTTCATTCTAATTCTTCTTATTTTTTGAGAATCTGATGTTTAAGGGATGGGGAGTGAGGTGCGGAATTTGAGTAAAAATCTAGAGGTTGTTAGGTTTGTCTACAACAAACCTTAGTGAAATTGAGTGAGGTGGCTAAGGATAGTCTATGAGAATTTCTCTGGTACTTTAATTTTAAAATAAATCTTAGTGAAATTATTTCAAAATAAATAATTGATCTAAATAGGACCAAAACATTAACGAAATTCTAAAATAGGAGTTATCTTTAATTTATTCTCCAAATATGACTAATTTGGTTAGTGTTCCTACTATACCCTCTCCTCTCAATCGTTTTATACTATCAGCTTTTACGATCAAACTTTTCTTTTCTTTCCTCCCGGCGTCTTTCCTCTCTCCTCAGTCCTCACCCATCTCCTTTATGTAGCTACCATCGATCCCTATAAAATCAACTCCCGGCCCCTTCTCTTTTGTTTTTTTTTCTCTTAACAAGTTCAATTTAATTTTTACGATCTCGATTTCTCTCATCTCCGACGAATTTTAGAGGTTGGGATGAGGAATTTCTCTCCATTTTTGGCCACTAGTGACCGGCGAACGGTGACGAGCGGCGGCATCCACCAGTGAGCAACAGCCAGGCATGACCTCTCCTCCTCCTCCTCCTCCTCCTCCTCCTCCTCCTCCTTCCTCCGTCATCTCTACTTTTATTATTTGTCAATTTTTTTTATTTAATTCGAGATTATTTATATGTAGTTTGATTTTCGTTTGCTTATTTTTTATTACTTATAAAGTTATAAATTTAAAAATGGCATAATTAAAATTACCCCCCCCCCCCCAAAAAAAACCATATATTAGAAAAATGATTTATGAAATATGTCATTTTTATGAGAATACCTCTATATTGTGCTACTTTGAATCTGAAATTCACTTCGAAAATCTCATTTTTATGGCATTAACATTGCAAAGATGGCAAGACTACTCTCCCGAAAAGACATTAGTGGCATGTTCTTTAATATGAAAATGTCATCCTATTTAAGTCAGTATGGCAATAATGTCACTAAGATGACATTTCAACTAAGAGATGACACTTGAATAATTGTCAATCCAGATTTGGGTTCAGATCTGAGATATGCAGTGGTTGACTCAGTGGAGGCGGTGGTTGTGGCGCCAGTGGCACCGGAGTTCACAAAGTTCACACAGATAAATCACACTGGTGTTGGATGAGGCGGCAATATTGTCAGATGTGGCATCGATGACGCCGAAGCTGGCGGGGGCTAGCGGCAAAGGTGGATGAGGTCAGAGATTGAGAGGCTAGCGGCGCATGTGGTGGCAGCGGCGCCTACACCAATGACATCGATGATGGTGGCGGCGGCGGCGGCGCCTACGCTGGTGGTGGCGGTGGAGGTGACATCGGAGATGTTTGTAATCCTGTGCCAGAGGACTTTGATGGGTACCAGGTTTGGAACGCAGGGAACTGTAGCTTCTTATATCTTCTTTTATTATTTTAGTTTGTATTATTAATAAGTATACTAATTTATTCATTAAGGGTATTGATGTCAACTCTTCACCTTTTTTTTTTGAAAGAAAAACTCATCTCTTTTAAGTTCTACGGAAGTAACTAAAGATCGGAAGTCCCATTGTTGCACTTTTAACAAGTTTTAGTCTTGTATCTTTTAAAATCTTTTGAGTAGGTCGAATGGTTGATGGTTTCTAGTCTTTCGAGTCGAGATTTTTCCTCACTTTTCACATTTACTTTATTCACATCCTCAAAAGAATATATGAAGGCAAGAATATATGCCCAATTCACTTCCCAGTTCCCCCTCCCTCTCCGGTGTATTCCTATCGGTTCTAAAAATTGTCTATGAATCAAGGGTAATCTTAGGAGGATTTCATGTAAGATGAATCCAAATGATCGACTAGAATGATTTAAGGTTAGCTTATCCAATATTCTTCACCAATCAAATAAATTTCTTGTAATTCTAGCAAAAGCTGGACGAAGAACTATATAAAGTTATAAACGCATAAAATTGTCGTGTGGAATTCATTGAAGAATATGATTATGTCATGACAAAGGTCTTTGCTGAAGCCTGAAGTTATTATAATTGCTAAACCTAAACCTGAATATATTGCTTATGACTACCAAAAACTTGAGCACACTAGCCAAACTATTAAATAATTAATTTGTGATATTTGTCTAATCAAAATATTTGTGATACTTGTCTACTCGAAGTTACTCACTAATGGGAATGAGAAGAAAATAAATGTAACATTTTGCATTTTCAATAAACTTTTCATAATGGATGAGTTAATTTGTCACATAATTACTCCCCATATTGAGAAAGGGTAAAAAGAGTGATTTCAATGGAAGATCAAGTCAAAAGGTGATGAAAAGCTTGAATTGGGAGCTGATTGTCCACTCCACCGCCCTCAGTCCCTCAGAAAAACAAGTGTTTCCCCAATTCTGAATTCCCCCACCCCACTCCCACAACCCAACGATCGAAAAAAGTAGTTTGGGGTCTGATTGGCTCCAAAGACCAGTTTGGGAGGGCCAGCTTATAGGCAAAAAGGAAATAAAAAAGTCAAACTAGCCATTCCGGTCTTTGTACTATTCCTAAGGTTGGTCTTGTTCCCGATTTAGTCCCGGACTAGACTCGAAACCGGAAATTCCAGACCCAATCTGGTCCCAAACAGTGTCAAACCCGATTTCAGAACGGGTCCACCCCTAACTAGTCCTAAAATCGCCGCCCACCGCCGGTTCCCATACAGGACTAGAGACCGGCCTCGTCTTAGGTACCAACCACTATGTTATGAAATTAGAGTAAAGTACAAAAAGCACAGTTTTTCTGCTAATAATTCTTCTTTTGCTAATGAAGCTATCACCACGATAAGGAGAGCAGAAAGACTGAAACTAATCACAGTTCCACAAGAGCATTGAATTGACACTGCACGATATCAACAATGCCTCATCATTCTATCGAAGGCACTACAGCAATTTAGAAACCGTTACTTAGTCTCCCCCGACTTGTCTCTTCCACGAGTCTTCAACGATGAGTTCATCAACCCCCCAATCTTCATAACTGTAGATTGTAAAACTCATGAACTTAAGATCAACCATTCAAAATTAATATGTATGGGTGGATCTATGGGTATGTGTCTGTATGTGAACAAAAAAGTATATGTATGCATATCCATGCATGTCTTTGTGTGTTTATGTAGTGTATAAATTTTTACAACAAAAAAAATGAGACTTTTAAATGTTTAATGAACATGTGTCAGCCTATGCCCCGGGCATGCCCCTCCCTGTGCACACGGCCACACTCATGTCTATACATATGTAGGAAAAATTATAAATATGCAAGAGCCTGACCTTCCATCTGGGAGATACCGACGAATTGTGAAGGGAATCTTCCTCTCTCGCAGCTCTTTCATAGCAATCTATGGGATGAAAATATCAAGGCTGAATAAATATACTAGACACATACCACCATTTAGCAATAAATTTCAGTTCTAACTTCCAAAATAAAAATGTAGAAAATCATAATCAGGCATAAGGCAATTCAGCAAAGTATGTTCGTGATAAACAAAGATAAAGGAAATAGAGCAATAAATATATCTCTAGTGCCCAAAGTTGGCATTAGCTGCCTCAACAAAAAGGAAAAAGGAAAATCTTGCTGCATTTTCTTTGTTACAACCCTAATTTTATGACGGTATATTGATTACTATTATTGATGTAAAGAGTAGAAATGAAGAAGAAGATACACACGAGGCGCTACGAGAGGCCTCAACTCTCCCAGATCCCAATTCTTACTCAAATCCAGACTACCCCTCTCCCGATTCTATTTCTTCTATTTATTCTTTTCCAATGAGGCTTCCCCTCAATCTTACTATTTTTTTATTTACTAATAACATGGCCCAGCCCACTTCCTTATTACAGCTCATTAAAATATTAAATATTATTTTTATTAATTCCCTCGCCATATGCTCAGGTCCGTATATTCGTTGATATCACTCATAAGAAAAAATGCAAACCACAAACCAAAACCATTTAAGCATTTACCCAATCTGATTGGGGTTCTGGGAGATGAAATAACCATTTAAGCATTTACCCAATCTGATAGGGGTTCTTGGAGATGAAATATTATGGAAGCAGATTCCCTATGGGGTTGAGACTTGAGAGCAACCATTGTAGGCTGTTGGTGGGTGAGGGCCCCTTGGCCTTAATTTAGGGGAGTATTGTGTTTGAGTGCTCAATACTCAGGTAGTACAATTGCTTATTTACTGCTTGGGGGAAACCTTGCTCAGGACCCTTCCTAGTAACTTGCAAGTACAAGGTGCAGAAACCAATTTTCAATCAACCATATTGTGATTATAGCTCAATTTAAACCTTTCAGAAAACTGTCCGACTGGTTTTGGGGGAGCTCTGGCCGGAAAAAGGTGTGCTTGTTGATAGTAACTGGGCTAATAATAATAATAACAAATTGATAATAATAATTGTATGGGTAGTATAAATAGAAAGGCAGGGAGAAATAAGAGAGGAGGCAGAAATTTAGTGCGAATTTGAGCTGAGAGAGCGGGACCTCTTGAAGAGTCCCAACCTGTTCTTCTCTTTCTATTCTCTATTTCTCTTTTATGCTGTATTAACTGTTTAAGGCTTCTTCCATTGTCATTTGCTTAAGGAATTTCTGATAGAATGTGAAATTATAAAGAAGTGGTTTTCCCTTTGTTGATAGATATGTATTGATGTGGGTCAAATGAAATGTCAATCTTAGTTCTTGTCTTCTTGATTCACAATGTCATTGTTGGATCTTAAGCTAGGTATAGAATTACTTTACTCTCATTACAATGAGTTAGGATGTGGCTGGTATACTAAAGGGAATGAGAATGAGTTCAAAAGAAAGAGGGAATGAGTTTCTACTCTCAAGTGCAAAAGTCAGGAACCAAACCTAAGGTGGAGCACTTAACAAACACAGACTATCATTTCATTCCCATTCCCCAAACTTGATTACCAAACAGCTCTTTAGATCTGGTAATCATCCGATGTGGGAAACTTGGCAAACTTGAACTCATTGAGAGGCCTAAGTCCATATATGCTATTAGTAACTTAAAATTTGTAGTTTTGTACAAATGTTTACAAATTACAATATTTATATAGCAAAGTTTGATTGAAACGTTAAAATTACTACCTCCATCCCTAAGATTGGGATAAGATGAAGTGATGCAGTAATTAAGAGAGGTGGAATTGTGTGGATGATATTGATGAATTGGTAAAGTGTGAATAAAGAGAGAATGAATTGCAATCACCCAAGTATTACCAAATATGGTACGAGACAGACTTAGAGGGACTCGCGAAAAAGGTAAAATGAGACAAAGATAGGGGGCAGAGGGAGTATATTTCACCCAAATAAATCATATTCCCTACGTCTTGAAAAGATTCACTAAATTAACTTTTCTTGGCCAATGGCAATCAACTTTGACCAATGATATTTTTTAATACAAAATAATTTTGAATATGAAAATTATATCAAAATGTTTCTTATTCAAAATATTTTCTTAAGAGTATAAAATTTACAAATTATATACAAATATAATAAATCAAACCATTGTCCAAAGTTTGCCAGCATTGACCAAGAAAAGTCAATATGGCGAATCTTTTTGGGACGAAGGTAGTATATGGCATGTGCAAAAGCAGCGTTGTCATAACACTGAAATATTTTTGCAGGAAAAGCTGCTTCAGGTAATGTTTTTCTTTGCTTCCCTCCTTTCTTTTTTTTACTTGTAAATTTACAATGTGGATATCCTTTTGAGTTTTGAGGGCATTTCTCATTCTCCTCAACAACTTACCTTTTATATTTTACCTACGCTTTGCAGAGATCAACTTTTTCATTTTCATTTTCATTTACCCCAGTGCCGCAAAGGCTCCCACCTACGGTGGGGTAAGGGGGGGTCGGATGTACGCAGTCTTACCCCTGTACTAAAGCACAGAGAGACTGTTTCCGGATGACCCATAGTGAAAATCGCGTCCAAAATTGCATGGACTGACTACTGCTCCATAACAAAGAAGCGCAGACAGTTTAGTGAGTCATTTTGCTTTATTGCATCATAATCTCAAGCCAAAAAATAATGAATCTTTGGCTCCATTGCAAATGATGGAAAACTTTTGCTTACATGATTATAATAATACTAATAATGATAATTATTATTATGTAGCTCCCTCTGTTCTAAATTAATTGTCCACTATATCTAAAACTCGCATCTCATCCTATCTAATATGCCCTTATTTATTACTTACTAGATTGGTGCACTTTATTTTCATATTAGCACACTGCATATGGATGACTTCTCATGATCCCAATGAATAACCCTTATCTACTTCCAAGATTGTGGAGTACTGATAAACTATGGACCTTAAAAGTTGGGTTCTTGAGTAGTATCCACCCTTTAATCAGAAGGTCCAAATGCAACTTGCGGTAGTGGCAGTACATTAATTAAATGTGATGGGCAGGATTGGAGAATAATACTACGTAAATGGTATACCGTATATTTGCTAAATGGACTAATAAAAGGGAACACAAAAGCACAAAATATGGGCACTTCTGGAAGTAATAAGGAGCAGAGTGAGTACATGACAGTCTAGATTGAAGATGAACTATGAATGTAGTTGATCTAATTTTTCCTGTACGGAGGCTTTATTAAGCCTTTGATGAATGGGTTGCTGCATAATTTCTATGTACCTGCTGGGTGATCAAACTGTTTTGTTCTGAACAGTGGTTCAACGGCAGCATTCTTTGCTTACAGAATTATAAGAGGTGGTGAGTACACCAAGGGTTTGGCAGAAAGTCAGTGAGATGAATGTAAGTTGCTGGTCCTAAGTTGTAGAGAAAAGTGTGCGTTGTGTGCAAATGTTCTCAAGCAATTACCAAAATCTTAAACATCAGTTATTTCCCATCACCCAAGAAAGGAATCAGTGTGCTGCTGCTTTGCCTCGAGGTTTTAATGGATGGGAACATTGGTTTCAGGAAGTAAATCTGTTTGCTAGGAGCACTCCCCCCAGCTCCGATCAGCGAAAAAAAGGCAACATGTGTTGGAAATGTCATCTTGATGGCATTTCTCAAGAAATTTTTTGACATTTTCAAAGTGTAAAAATGCCATCTTCATGGCATTTTCAGAGAAAAAATGGCAGTTTTTATACAAAATTGTCATTTTTTCACTGGTCTGGGTGGCATTGCTGAGCTATTCTCTGAATTCCATACTTAATACACCCTCCGTATTTTAAAGTTTGCTACACTTTCTTTTTTGGGGTGTATTTAAAAATTTGCTACACTTCCCACTTGGTAAGCTTTCCCTTTAAAAATACTCAATTGCTCTTACTTTTTCTAATTTTTATCTTCTCTTTCATACTTTTACACCTCCTCTCCTATTTTTTCTACACTATTCATTACCCCTACTACTTTCCTCCTTAAATCGTGTGCCAAAGCGATATGTAGCAATCTTTTAAATACGGAGGGAGTATACATAAATCTTCCGATTTTGTATCTGGATCGTGGTGTTACCTATCATCTGTTTTTCTCTATTGCTTAATACTATTTGCTTACTAACTTAGTTTTTGTTGTACTGCTGGTGTGAAGCTATTTTATGATACCTTATTGCTTGCCTGGCCAAACAATTTTAACCATACTATTCACACTACCCTTCACCTTTGAGAATGTTTTTTCCGTAATTTGAAAAGTCTACAGAACATTTATGTGTTACTCTTTCATTGGCAAACAGTACAGGCGTAGGGCCCGCAAGACAGCAGAGGCAGGAGATGAGCAGACCGCACAGGAGTCCTAGTTCTATTATTTTATTTTATTCATTATTTATTAATTTATTTATTATTCATTAGTTTATTAATTTAGATTTCTTTTACTGTTAGTCTCCCCTATTCGGAGAATTAGGGTTAGCCTTTTCCTATATATATAGGTGATCATTATTAATAAAGTTCAGATTCTATCGGCAAGGCCGAGTCTCTCTCTTCCACCATAGGTCGTAAGAAGCCTTCTGGCTCACAACCTTCTTCACTCGATCCTTCCACCACCGAGACAAGGTCCGGGCCGTGGACAAGATCCTTCACCGCCAAACATAACAACTTGGTATCAGCTCCAGGTACGATGGCACAGGATGCGATCAAGACTGAAATCCAAACTGCCTTATCTACCGCCATGGAATCCGTCAATCAGCGCCAGAGCTTAATTGAAGAACAGTTGGCCACGATCCTAAAAAAACTCGACAGCAGCAGCCGCACTTCTGATTTTGACAGCACCGAGAGCCATGCGTGACTCCATCGCGAGGACCCCACGCCAAATTTTCTACCCAGATTTTCTAAATTGGAATTTTCGACGTTCGACGGCACAAGAGACCCCTTGAGTTGGATTAAACGGTGCGAGCGATTCTTAGAA